GAACATTATTGTTGTATTTAAAATTTTAAAAGTATTAATCAGGATAATGTGCTTTGCCAATCTACATATACAAAATATTTGAGAGCTTTACTAAAGTGCCAATTTGAATATGAAATGTAGTGTTCAAATGACAAAGTAATGTAGTTATAAATATGGAAGAAACGACTCAACTGGATGAAACAGAAAAAGAAATAAACATCGGTTTGCGAGTGAAAAAGCAAAACGAAATAAATATTTTCAAAAAGGAACTTTAGTTCATATGGTAAACTTTTATGGAAAAATTGTCTATATTAGCCTTACATTGTTTTAATGGATCGATTTCAATAGATATAGAAGGGAAGTACAAATGAGTGGCTTGTTTTGATTATTTGCATTGTAAAGAATTTTATGTATTAGAATCTCACCCAAATTAAAATAAACTAACAGTTATTGCAGGCTGAAGTTCGTGGTCTAATTCTTGTAGGGTGAACAGATCCCCGCTATTTGTATCGATTGTAAACCATCCGCCATCCGTTGCATTATCCACTGGCTAAAATCAAGTCTTTTCTCTTTTTGAATTGATGGAGTTCGATAAACATTGACTTATATTACTTGAGTATAAACAGCTAAAGATTTAGAAATTCCAACACTGTTAAAATCGAAATTTAGTATAGATATTCTCGCAACTGATCATATCGCAGGTTCATCTTGAAAAGTTAATATTTCTATAAATGATAAAATATTATTTCGTTGTTTATCCTATATCTAGCCGAAATATTAAATTTATATACAGATTCTATGCACATCATAAATTATATTTGATAGGCTTCAAATAAGAAACATTAATATTAATTTAGCTTTCCTATCAATAACTAACCGTTATTGAATACTTAATTTCCCGGCCAAATTGCTCATTAAAACCGCCAAGTTTAGCTCGGACTGAATAAATGTGATTATTGGCTGGAATATTCTGCAAAAAAAGGAACATAAAACTCATGATTACTGTCTAATATTTCAAAGTAACATGAAGCTATCATGTAACTAATATCCTCAGCATTTAATAATTATATTCGATTATATTCGACTTTTAGCTTAAGCAAAAAAAATGGAATAGATAGTTGGTTTTAAGAAGCTCATCATGCTCTTAATTTATTGTCGCTAAAAATACGACGTTATGGTCACCACCGAAATAAAACTATTATAAATTTGATTTATGTTAGGAGAAAATTAGAAATCCAACCTCATCAAGTTGTAAAGTGAAATGAACAGAGGGTGATACAATATGTATACCCGTGTCGTCACCAGCATGACTTAATGACGAAGATTCGAGTACATGGATACTAACAGTTGTACTGGCTGATAGCGGTGGTATACCTAAATTCAGCACAGAAAGGGACTTTCTGGAAATTTCACTGATCTATTTAATGTTGAATCATTAAATTTTATTTCAAATAAACTTTCATCGTTTCTTTTAAAACCATAAACGGTTAGATATATTTACAAATTTTGAAATTAGTGAGATAAGAATGAAATAATTTCGGTTTGATGGTTAAGTTAATTTCTTAAAAAATTTATCATAAAAATGCAAAGGTATGGAGAGGATAAATCAGTTAACAGAAGGTAGCTCGTAGAATAATCCTTTGATACAGGTAAATCTCCTTTATTCATGTTCCGTTCTACACTTCACTTGTTTTTTCTCTTGGGTCATGCTTTCCTTGATCAAAGAATAGTTGGGGTTGAAAAGAGTTCTGCACTCATACATTATATTTTTCAACAGCTTCAATTCTTTGAGCGTATAATTGAAAATACAATTGTGAAGAAGTTAAAAAAATATCAGAGTCAACCTTGATCATTTGCTACAACTGAGAATTCGTACGGATGTGCTCGAGCTAGACCAATCAGTGCTTGTTTCGTACGTATTACTCCATTTACCGGATCGATTTCAAAGTCTATAACTATTTCAAAATTACTGTGGAGATTCTTTTTATTCTTTAAAATTAATAATTCACAAAATTGTATTGAAATTATATATCATATTAGTTCCTTGGCAAATGCATAATATTCAAATATGGCTCGATTTTTAAGACACAATAACTATTTTTAAAAAATAATAATCGAATATATTCCTTGTTTTGGAAATGTCTCCTTCACATTCATTTCTTTCATAGTAACTTCAAGTTTGATTTTAGCTAAAATTTCTTTGTATTTCACTTACTAAAATCGAAATGTGAGATAATTTTTAACAATCTGTTTGTTGGATTTTTGATTAACTGCCGGTAAAAAATCCTTTTTGACAGATAGATATCAACTTTTCAATTGAAAATAGTTTAAGAATTGTTACTCAAAAGTTTAGCCTTGATTACTACCCTTATCAAGTGATCAATATACGTACGAAAAATATCAGGGTTGTAACTCTCTTTATTAGAAATGTATTGACAATTTTTTAATTTTAGTAATAATCTTGATAATAAATGCTGCAAATTTTCTAGAGAAAGTTTTTACTAATGGGATATGAATTTAAGAACAGAAATGTTGATTAGTTAATGAGCCTGTCTCTCTATGGTAAATTTAAAATTTTTCAATTGGTAATGTCTAAGAAGAAATATAATCCTTTTTGATGTATCGTCAAGTTAAAAAAAGAATACATTGATTATTTTTTGGTGATAACGAGTAACGTAGATCTGCATTTAGGCCTTTGTCTTTATCTTCAGCATGCACATAAGTTAGTACCGTTGCTTCAGGCCAATTTTCCACCGCTTCAACTTTGTATTCGTTATGAATGAAAATGGGCACATTGTCGTTTGCATCTATTATTGTAATTCTTCCCTGCAGTGGGAGTTTTACTCTTCAAATTTTAAATATTTTAATCCAAATTGTAAATCGGTAGTAAACAGATTAGAGTGATTTAAATCGATCAATATAGAGTTCAGATAACGAATGCCAGTTATCACCATTTTTAGCACTGCTGCATAATTTTTTGAATTTTTCGCCTATCACCGTCTCGCTTAGTAGTAGAACAAATTATTATCACTTTGTTTTCCCAAATTTTTGAAATCTTACCACAACACTATCGCTGTTTCCACCGGAATCAGTAACTTTCAGTAAAACAACCATTTCTTCAACTTTTTCTCGATCCAAATCAGCAGCAGGAGAAACGACAACTGCTACCGTATCGCTTATCTGAAAAGAACAAGGTGTGTTTATTTCGCTATACTCAAAATGGCTCTTGAAGTGAAATTTATTTAACCATTTGCTTATCCCAACTTGATTTCAAGGCTATTTTTAATAGACTTGCCAAATCCTTACCTTTTTAACCTGGAAATTAGCTGCACCATCACCAGTTAATGCATAGTTGAAGATACCTGTTTTACCATACAAATGATCAGGATCCGATATTTGGACTTCAAAAAGCACCGTTCCAGGGCGTGAATTTTCCGCAATCGTCAGCTAGATTTTATGCAATGATAAAAATATTCAAAACACATTTGATCAGGATCATATTGCAAAGCATAAAAATTTTCAAACATCACCAAATTTTGGTTCAAGTGCTAAATGATTATTTTTCAACTGAATGCCACCTTCCAATTATATCCCTAGGACTGCCAAACCATAAACTAACAACATCATCAAAGGTAGGCCAAAAAATTCTCTATTACTGATATATGGAAGATTTACAGAGTGTGTTAATTGACAAATTAATTAACATTTAAGATGTGGGATTAGGTTCCAAATGACCAAAACTGAACAGGATAGAAAGTTTTTACTCGTTTACCCTTATGTCTTTGCTCTATTATCAAAACATATTAATATAAAAAAGAGAAGATCTGATTTGATGAGACGAAATTTAATAGACTTCATAAATAAAACGAACATCATCAAAGTTATAGTCACCAAACTTGGCTATTTTTGGCGGATTGTCATCAACGTCTATAATTTCAACTCGTAGCACTGCCACTGTATCATATGGTTCTTTACCTGCGATCAGTAATATATCAAATATATGTGATTCTGGTTCCATCGCTTCAAAATCGAAAGGTGTTAAAACCTGTACATCTCCTACAATGAATTTTTTCATCATTAACAATGCAACTACCGAAAATTAGATAAAAATCAGTTGCTTTGTAAACTTTTGAATTTTTAAAAGCTACAGGAACAAGAGCAATAAATTTTATAATATATAATGTTTTGCTATTGTATTGTAAGGATGACTTATGACCAATCGCAAACATTCGCTTGCTTTATTCGAAAGCTCAGATTAGCCTAAATTTGTTTCTTTAAAACCTAACCACTTCTTCCATCCACAGTAAAGTGTTGTGCCATTTCCCCTGAAAGCCTTAGGTCCATAATTTTGCTTCCATTCAACGGGTTATAAGCTGGCAACGAAATAATTGTGTAGCCTTCTGGCGAATTTTCAACTAATTTGATCTGAAAATAATACGAATACAATTTCAATTGAAAAAGTTCTGCATAAAAAGATGAAAAAAATGTTATGACAGCAACTGAAATATTATAAGTGAACGAAAGCGCCCAATAACAAATAAAAGATTGCGAATAAATGATCAAATATGTAGAATAAGCAAGTTTTTAAACCATCTCATGCATTATCATCTCTTTTAAATCATCTCTGCAAACAATAAACTAAGTATTAGTAAGTCACTGGAATGATATTCATATCACTTCTCCATGGATGACCGAATCTTGGTTGTGCTTGTCGTTTACGTTCGTGTTCTATCTCCACTGGCTCCGAACTGAGAAACAGCATCACTTTTGCTGTAATTTGCTTAAATTTCATTTGCTACAAGCTATTTATCCAAAAATATATGGTATATATTCAGATCATAATATGCACATGTCAATATATGTCTCATTGATATATTAACATCGTTTGTTGTATTATTGGAATTAAGATAATGTACCATTTTTAATTTATATATTCAAAGATTGAAATTTGATGGAAATAATTTAAATTGGGTTCAAAATAATAATATCATAGTTTTGTATATAATTGTTATACATACTGGAATCATTAGCATCTTCTTTTGAGGATAAGTTGAACTGTAACATCCGTATCTGTTGTAATCGCTTCATATGCATTATTATTATACCGTGACTATTTGATATTGCACTCTGTAATTCAAAGAAAAATCAATTCTACTAATTCCATTTTTATTCCCTTCAAAAGTTCATGCTTGGAGACTCATCAAAATCATTGCACACTTTTCAGCGATAGAATTTCAAGCATACACTTGAAATAAGAAAAGAAATACCTTATCAAGGTGAATGCAATGAAGTTGCTCATCAACTGCACTGACACTATCTCGCATGATCGTTATTGATGCTTTGTTATGTTCCGGAAGTATTTCTACTTTTTGACGACTTACTGTTGAATCTGATGTATACAAAATTTTAGCAACTCGCAGAATAAAATTATGTTATAGAAGCTTCGTCTTATACTGCGAAAGTTGAATTTCAATTAATAATTTCTATCAGACTTTAACAAAGCATCACATCTGATTCAGTAAGCTCTTTAACTAACCTTTACGTAAGGACTTGACAGTAAGCTTTTTGGTAAACAATTTCTTCACGTGATTATCGTTAATTACCGTAAGAACAAGAACAGATTCTGTGATGAGCCTGCCATCAGTTCGATTCACTGCTGCGATGGATGTGCTATATTTTCCACTTACGATACCGGTTCTATAAAGTAAAGTGTATACATATTGTAATGAATATTTCTTTTTAATTTTCAAATTTTCGGAAATTTTCATTTGGTGGTTGTTCCATTGAATGACATTGAATAACGCTATTAAAATTTGGTATTTCGCAGGATTTTGTGGTCGAATAATATTTGTAACTTGTGATGTTGAAGATTTACCGCGGGACATCGCCAACAATGACATTTCCTGTATATTTATTCACAGAAAGCCAACCGGGATCATTTCTTAGCAGAATAAATCGCAATGCATCGGATGGAGCATTTTCCAGTTCCGGTTGCAGGATAGAATTACCTAAAAGAGTTAGGTATTTTTTCCAATTCTCGAATTTATCGAATCAAATTCTGAGTTCATTTAAGATGTCCAGAAGAAAAAAAAACCTTTAAATAGTTTTTCGGTATTAATAGTCCTTTCATATTTGGCTCGTTTGAAATGAGCTTTCGTCACAGTATTCTGAAGTAAAGATTTTTCAACTTGCTTTCGTTTTAATTAAGAATATAAAAACAAAAAATGAAAGGATTATCACTTATTTTGATATTTGCTGAGGAACAAATCTTAGACAAATAAGTCAAAAGCAAATTTCGGATGCACTGTGGAATGAAACATTCGAATGGACAGAATTGGATTGAAAAAATAAAGATAAACTTACCAACACTTGTGTATTAACAGTGATTTTTTGCTCTGGAATGTTTCCATCAGGATCACGAGCAGTGATAATCAGTTGATAAATCCCCGCTGCTGGTAAAGACCAAAGCCGTCCATAATAGATATTATCACGGGCTTTTTCCAGCGAAATAAATGCTGATGCTGTGCCGTCTATGGTTATTTCATTGATATTATGTGGTGCTGCATCGTCATCTTTTATCTGTTAATTAATAAATTATCCCATAAAATTGAGATATTTCCCACAATTTAACTTTTGTTTGTTAGAAGTTGCTTCACTTTACTGTCATTTTGATTTACTTATTCGAAATCGCACTTTATTACCTTTACAACAAAGGGCTTTGTGAGACGGCCATTTGATACCGTAATTTCATTTTGTAATGTTTCCAGAATTGGACCATTGTCATTGCGGTCATCGATAAAAATTTTTACGATTGCAGGAACCGATTTTAAACCATCTTAAAAACAGGAAAATTGTATACTATCTTGATTCAAACACATCGAAAGATGATAAAGCTGATTTGATGACAAAACTCAGATTCGGACAATCTGGATCTGATCTATTCCAGAAATTAGCAACATTCTTGGATCTGTTCTGGCAAAAAAAGTGTTTTTTTGAATTTTAGTCTGATAGCAAAGGTAAAGACGCAATGTAGTGAAAATTTGTAATTTAATAGATTGACTGAATAACTGAAAAATACTGAAAAATTCGTGTTCAAAGTAATGCCAACAATAAAAAGTTGATGGTAAAGATACACATCATAAATATAAAATCTGTATCCTTAAACAAATGATATAGCTAAGGAGAAAGAAAAAATGGAATGACTAGTTGAAGGACTTACTGGGATCAGTAACAATAGCAAGAAGATGATATGCAGAAGTTTGTTCCCGGTCTAAGCATGGCAGGACAGTTGGACATGAGACGCTTACCGTACCTCCATTTATCGCAAATCTCAAATGAATATACAACTAATCTTTTAAAACTTGACAAAAAATAATACTTCTTCTCTATCCTTTCTTTTTTGGATTTTTTTACAAACCATTTTTAAAAACGGCAGTGAAAGTAAAACTTGAACTTAAAACTATTAATTAAACGTGTTAAAATAATATTAAAACATGCATAAATAATATTATTTTCAGATAAATGTAATTCTGGGCATTTTGTAAATTTAATTTAAGTAGTTTAAGCTAATTTTTTTTTGATTTTCTAATATGTGGATAAGTATATTGTAACAAAATGTATAGACCATACAATTCACTTCCAGGACCAATCAGCTGATAAGTGATAATTCCATGCCCACGATGATTCGTGAATTCAGCTTCCATCTGACCAACTTTTTGTCCTGTTATGCTGCCTTCATTTACGTGGAAATCATATTCAGGAAACAAAAATGCTGGTGCTTCATTGTTCAAACTTTCATCTCTTATGATGTTAATCATTTTTGATGACGTTATTGACGGACGTGTTCGTTGAGATGCAGTAACCTGAAAATAGCAATTCCATTGAGGGATACATGGTTTCACCTTCATATTACATTTTTTTTTATTTTACAATTTATCGATCGAAACAGTCGAAACTAAGAAAACGGAATTTACTAAAGTTTTCGATTTACTCGAAACAAATTAATAAATTGATGAAAAGCATGTAGACAAACCTTGATGAAGAAATAAAACAAATTCTAGGAATCTGACAATCTGAAAGGATAAAATCTGATATATCCAATACTATTCCAGAACTTTGAATCAGTAAACTTCACCTTGACAACAACGGAGCCATCTAAAAGATCGCGATCCAGTTTTTCAGCATCACGAACAGCAAGGAAAACCGTTTTTCCAGGCTGCATACGACGCGGAATGACTTCCAGTGCAGAGGAATTTACTGATACCATAATTACATCATTATGATCCTAAAAAAGAAATCAAGTTTCCCAAATCTTATTGTTTGGGAAAAAAATACTTCAAGACTTCCGAAAACTTATAAGACTTACCATGTTATTAGCGGTAATGATAATATCGAAATCAGGTAAAATGTCGGAATCTCTAAATTCGTTAGGTAAAACGTATTTTCCTCCTTCGATGGTTTTGAACTTCACATCTATCGCTAAAACTAACAGATAATTAAAATGATGAAAACAACAAACCACTAATTTCGTCTTGGCATGATTCGCTACTTATTCAATTATTCAAAATAATACTGTTCTTAACAGTTTACAAAAGATGTGAAATCCTGGATGTTTCAAAAATATTTGATCATAGAAAGTCTGTACTAGGCTTACTTGTTTCTTGGGATTGCACCTTATTGGTTCTAAAATCATTCTCTGCACTGTCATCTTCTTTAGGTCGTTCTCCTTTAACTTCACTTCCTGTTTCTGGATGTAACACAAGCGCAATTGTAGTTTTATCACTCGCTGTCTGTTGCAACTTGTCGATTTCAAATTTCTCATCGCTACTTTCATTCCAACTTTCATTCATTCTATAATCTGAATTGACATGTATATTGTCTGTTAAGCTGATTGTTGACTGAAGAAGAGCAGCATCAGTACTTCGATCTGTGCCAATTATTTCTGTTGCATCACTTGGAGTGACAGTCGTATCATTATTATTAATGGTACTAATATGATCAATGTGATTTTTCCAAGTAACACTACTAGTATGTGTAGAAGTATAACGATTATTTCCAGTACTGGTGCTCAAATAACTATCGGTGTACTTGATGTCGTCATTATCAACACCCATATTAGTAATCCGTTCATCTATCGTGAAGTCTGCTGATTCTGTAGTAGTGGCATAGTTGAGTTGTATACTCTCGCTTGTTTTAACGTTTGGTGCAAAATTTTTGAAGTTTTCTTCAAAATATTTGTCATCTTGAGAGCTCCAGTATAAGTTATTAATGTTACCGTCAGTCCTCCGTGCGGGTATTGTTGTCACTGGGATGAGGGATACACCAAATTTGTTTTGTAAGCTTTTTCCATCTTCTACTGGAATACTTGAGAATAAGCTGTTGCCATTTTGTACTGATGAAACGACGGTAGTTGTTGGTTTATGGTCTATCGGTAGTTCTCCTTGGCCGTGTGAGGAGAAATTATCATCATTTTCATTGAATTCATTATCTTTAAAGCTGTGACCCATTCCTGCCGTTATTGTATTTCGATGAATTTCGGTAGTCATAAATGTTCCTCGTTCAGATGAAACTGAATTGTAATAGATGGCATCCAAATTATCAATATTAGTACGGGTAAAACCATCATTCCGAAAACTTTCTGGAGGCGTTGCTGGAATAATTTCGTGTTCCTGTAATGATTCAAACTCATCCATAGTTTGCTTTTTATTCAGAATTTCTTTAAGTGGAAAATTTGTCCAGTTTTCTGAGGTTTTTCTGGAAAATTGTCCGAATGACTCCCTAAATAAAGGAATATTAACTAAGGAAGGACTTGCTTTGGTCATTGATTCTGATTGATATTTTGCTATTTCTTTGACTCGTAAAAAGAAAGATTTTCCTGATCCTTTTTCTGTTATAGATTCAGTAGTATTAGTTACTGCTTCAGTATCATAAACGGTCGGTTGGAAGGTTTCTGTAAAATTTTCATGTGCAAGAGATTCTTCTGCAAATGATAATAATTCTTCAGCAGATTGCCCACTTTGTGATACAGTAGCACGGGAAAATTCAGGTCCATCATGAGTTGTTACAACAGATTCTGTAGTTCCTAGTTCCTGAACATTAGCCAGCTTTTCGATAAAAGTTTCGCCTATAGTTTCCAGAGTACTCATTGCAAGTCCAGCTTGCGTTTCTTTTATATTCCAATTTTCATGAGTAGCAGATGTGTCTATATCTACTTGTTCCAGACTTGGTATAGTCACAGTAACGATTCCGGGTCCATCCTCAAAAGACTCTGTAATAGCATGATCTGAATCAATAGGAAATTTCAGTGTGGTAAGTTCATCCATCATTAATGTTTCAGTCACACTAGAAATTGTTGTTACTGTCAAAGAATAAGACGTTCCTTTAGTAGCAAATGTCAGGACTTCAACATTGATATCTGTGGTAGTTTCAAAACTGCCTTGGTTAGCCTGGAAGAAAATAATAAAACTGATAAAATTTTATATTATTTGAAAGACCTCTATGATTTACAAAATCACTCGAAGAAAAATACGGTACTTTAATTTGAAATTTATATTGGCCATTGTCGGTTTTTCTGAAATCAACGTCAGCACCATCATGGAGCATAAGTTTGATCGCAATAATAAGACGGTTTGCATTCTCAAACATAATATACTATTAGATCAATGAATGAAAATACATGTTTAATAAATGTTTTTAGGTTTGCGATGTTGCAAAGGCTTGAATTAACAAATTTAAAAATATTTTAGTGATGCATAAATAAGTCAAATGATAAACATATATAATATCGGCAGGATATTAGTAAAGTGAGATGAATTTAAGGATTGGTGGATTTAGATACTGATTCTGTACAAAAAAGCATCCGATAAGTGTTTTTTGAAAGGGTTTAAAGATAATAATCCGCTGTTTAATATCAGTAATAAAAAAGGCCAAAACTGAAACAAAATATTAATAAAACGGAATGAAAACGATTCACAAAAATACCGTTTCTTTTTCCATTTCACCCAGATAAAACCATTGCAGTGGCTCAGATAGAATTGAAAATTTTGGTTCGATATCATCATGATGGGTTAGAAAGTAAACTATAGCGACAATCATCGAATCCTGTAGTGTATTTGGATTCTCCGAGAGACCAAAAATTATAAAAAAGACTATAAAACTAAAAAATTCGTTCAATATTTCTCCATCGATACGTAAACTCTATGATTTTTGTAGTAGACATTAAAATTATTTTAAAAAAAATGAGCCTAAAAAACTGAAATTAAAATTTCTTCTGAACCTTGTTTTTTCCTTCCGGTACATATATTTCATAGCTGTTATGCTCGAAATGTGGTATAAAAATAAAAACAGGCGCTTCCGGCTTTCTTGTTGGCTTTTCAAGCTGAATAGTGGATCCGTTCCAGATTGAAACTGGTTGCTCCTCTGAAGCAATAACATTTGGTTGTACATGGAATTCATTACCAATTATTGCTTCCGCCTGATGTTCAGCAGTTTGCTGAGTCGTTACACTTGGGATTTCGAACTGAATTTTATCATCCGAATTCAAATCATCCGAAACGAAATGTATGGAAGCGTTCCAACTCTGCAAATACATAATTTTGGATGTGATAAAACAATTATAACAAAATATGTAAAACTTTTATAAAATATAAACGCAAAATAAATATAACCTTATATGAATTTCCTTCGTGGGTCCGTGTTCTGATGGTAAGAGGCAAACTGAAATTCGTAATGTTCGCAGTGCTGGTATAAACAATCCGTAACCGATAACTATCATTGCTGAGTAAATCGGTAACACAAAACACAACTTCCGGTAGCATACATATGAATTCAATTGAACCATTAAATGTGTCATGCGCTTTTACAGATAAAATTTCATGGCCTGAAAAAAACCAAAGTGGTAAATATTGGGCTTTAATTTAATAGAACCCATTTGTAGTTTCTGTTATATAAGCTGAAATAATTTTCAAGTCATTGCTCAATATTACCCATCTCAATAAATATTTGGTAGAGTAATTTTATATTCAAAGTTTCATTTTACAATTACAGTTGTATTATAAGTACGCTAACACTGAAAACTATACCTGAATGGAACTTTGCAATATGGATAGGTTTAACAAAAACTTGTGGATTGCTCCAGATAATGGAAGCGTCCGGCGGATTTCCTATAGTATAATCCAAAGCATCCAGGGTAGGAGCATCTGTCACTGTTACCATTTTCAGGTTAAAAACAGATGCATTGAGTGTGAGGAAATTTAACGAATTCTGGACGTGTGGCTCAAATAAATTTGAATTTCCGTTAGCATGAATAAAATTTGAATCCCGAACCAGCTTTTCAATAGCATCTCCATCTGCCACACTGGAAAAGATTTCCTAATTTGCATTTCAAAATTATTGATTTTTTTCAACTTACTTAGCTGTCCAATTTTTTGGAAGAAAAAATTAGAATAAAAAATAATCCAAACAACCTGTGAAGAAATGCGCTCATTTGCGATGCTGATTCTTGAATTTCGCCATCCGCTTGACTAATTTCAGTGCTAGCACTTTTCATTTTTTCGTATTTTCTAAATTCTTTCACCATTTCTTCAGTGGTTTTTCCAGCTGAAAGCAGTTGATATTTTAACCAATAACAATCGAATTTATAATTTCGAAATTGCATAAAACAAAACACAAATAAAATATCAGAAAACAACTGTGAAAAATGTAATACCGGCGATCATTAATGATTCATCCAAAACTGGTAATGCGAGTTTTTCAGGAATTCTTTCACTGAAAAGTAGTAAAAATAATCAGTATTACAAGAAATATAAAAAGTCTATTTGGATTCTGGGGCATATATGAACTATCGCTTTTTTAAGATATGCTCGCATTTCATTACAACTGATCTGAACAAATTTGTATTTTATTCAAATTCAGCAAGCTCGAACAAAAAAAATGAAAAAATTATAGATTTGTTGGGACCTTGACGGTACAAACATCATATCGTTTTCGGATGATTGTTTATCAAATCCGTTTTTATTATTGATACCATGTGATTTCTAAAAAAAAGAAACTTGTTAGATTAATTCAATAAATCTTTTAAAAATCAGTAAAAAACACCCTTAATATAGAATAATCTTATTGATAAGCGCATTTATCGTGTATGACAAAGTTATTTGTTTATTTGTCGATTCTTCGTAATTACTTTATTTATGTAAATGTCATATTGACAATCACAACTAGTAGTGAACTAAGCAACTTCGTTACCTTCAAATTATCAGACGTCCCACCATCCGGTTCATTTTTGATCATTCCAAATTTCGACATACTTCCTGGATCATTGTTTAAAAAACTCGAAAGGTCAGCTCTGGCAATAAACTTTCCAAAACCTACGTCAAAAATTTCATTTTCATCTTTTTGTTTAAATGACATTTGTCCTGAAAAAAAGATTGAAAATAAAATCTGATTGTTATATAATGACTGAATGTCTTACAACTCATTGTTATAACTCAAATCAATTCAGTATTATTGAACACTATGTGCTTTGGAAAAATCACTGAAATGATTCATAATATTTTACAGTTACTAATTATAACAAAATAAAAAAAATTACCGCATGTATCAGAGGCAAATAAAATGCATAACCAAATCAACATTATCAAATGTAATCGAGTTTCGATCTTCATACTAAAACTGTTCAGTTTGTAAAACAGAAGTGTCCAATTTCCATTAACAATTTTAGGCCCGATTTCCACACATTCCAATATCTATTTATCAATTTCAGTACAGTTTAATGAACAATATTTCTACATAGAGATTAATGTTACTAGCTTAATGAACAATCCAATCAATGGATTATCACACAATGTTTCACGCGAACATTTCTGGTAGAGTAAAACGCAAAAAAAAATTACCGACAAACGTTTGTTCGAAGACGATTCAGCTAGAAATTTAAAATGAACTCCGTTCGGTTGATGTCAATAACACATTCGAATGACACATCCTTCATTGTCTTTGTCATTTTGACCTAATTACAATTGCCATTTCTTTCCTTTTTTTCTTGTCGTTGTGCACAATCTAAATTTTTTGATGTTTGTGACTAACGAATCTCCTGTATAAAAATGGTAAACACTGCGACAAAGAAGGGAAGGAAAAGTAGAAAAGCGGAAGGGAAAAAATAGCCAATTAAAAATCTTTGGCTTAACCTTATTTGCTGAGACAGTACATTGTTAGATCTGCACAAAATTTGATGAAACACTGAGATGCTCTGTTTAGATTTCAATATTGATACTTCGTCATAATAACGCTGAAATTCTCATTACGATACTGACATCAGATAGTGTATCAAACTATGGAAATTTCTTTCGTCAGCTTATTTGGAAAGTTTGGCAAATGCTGAAAATTCCTTTTAATGATAAACATACTGGATGAAGTCAGCAAGACATATTCTACTCATCAGTGATACCGTACTTTCATATCAAACTATGAGCAATAGATAATGTAAGCGAGTCATTGTCGGTGAATAATAATCAATTAATGGAAGTTTAATGATCCAATGATAATGACTTGAAAGTAAGCATAAAATACACCGAACTCTTCACCATAAGGAAAATTGTTTTCCCAACTTTGTCTCCTAATTCGATATTATCTTTAGAAGATATCATAGGGAAGATGTCAAAATTTTCAAAAATTCATCGTTGATATGATGTTAACATAGAGACAGTTGGAAACTTTAACTTCGAATCTTATAGAAGTACTGTTTTTTATACTTTAGTAAATTGTTCTGAGGTCTCCAAGACTATCTTCAAGATAAAGTTAATGAAAACAGCTGCGTACATCATACTATTATGTGTTAGAATTTCTGTCGATTTTTCATGGAAATTGGAATCTTGGAATAAATTTAAGTAATTCTAAAATACATGCAAAGTTTGTTCTTGTCAATGAACATGCCTTAAAAAACAAACTTTACTGCGAAAAAAGACTGTCACATACAAAAGAAAGAAAAAATTTTAAACGCAGAGATACGAGCATTCAATCATTCGAAATGCTACTAGAAGATGGACACTTAAAGATTAATTTCATAGTTTTAAAAGAAAGAAGATAAACACTTAAAGATTAATTTCACTTTTGAAATTGTAGTCATTTTATTTCTGCACATCAGAAAAATTTGACACTACAAAAGTAGAAAACTCAACGCACTTCAGTGCAGAAATGGGAGAAAAGGACTAAAAGAAGATGCGATGTGGCACATCAAATCCGTCATAATCGCCCGCTGGAAGCTTTGTGCGATCAAGGTCGTTGAAGTACGGATCCTTCAATAGTTTTTTCGCAGAGACTCGCACTAACGGATCGTAAGTAAGCATTTGCTGCAAAGAATATAATAGTACATAATAGAAGTGGAAATGTGTCCAAGAATCATTTAGTGAATAAAATTCGACATTTAAAACAGCCTCATTTGACATTTACCAAGCTAAAAAACTTTCAAAATGCCAATTAATTTTCCATACTTTCAAGATTTTGATTCCATCCTCGTCCATATAGCCAGCAAGAACTTCTGAAAGTTTGTTTCCCACGTAATCCGGATAGCATTCCATGAAATCCGGAATTTTTAACACTCCACGTTCTATTTCATCCTTCGGAGTCGACAGTATACTGAAAATCTTAATAATGATGCATCATCGCAATTGAACAGAAATTAAATTAAAAATAAACGAACCGGAAAATACGGAAAATCTGATCGATTTCCGAATCACCTCTAAAGAGAGCTACTTTCATGGCCATTTCAGCAAAAATGCATCCGATGCTCCACATGTCAACCGACATCGAATAATGGGTGGACCCTAATAATATTTCAGGCGGTCGATACCACAAAGTGACCACCTGCAGACAAAGTTTATATGGTAAATTGCAATACAGAAAATTCTGCAAATATAAGTTCATATAAATTATTTTAAAGATATAAGCAACAAGTTTCTTTGAAAAAAATATTAAGATTTGGAAAGATGTAATATTGTGCTAATTTTTGCTAAAATATGAAATTGGAGGTAAAGGAAATTACCACATCAGTATATTTCCTTTGTGCAAACTGCAGTTCTCTTGCAAGGCCAAAATCAGCAATCTTAAGGCCACCATTTTCGTCAACCAGCAAATTCTGTGGTTTCAAATCACGATGTATGACATTGCGCTGGTGGCAGAAACAAATGCCTTGCAAAAGTTGGTACAAGTACGACTTTTGCTGCAATTAATAGAATAAATCAGGTTTCAATTACATAATTTTCTTCTGAATACTCAGCAAAATGACGGCTTGGGAAATGAACAATATTTATGGTGTTAACTGGAAGAAAACAAGTGCGCCAACCTGATTTTTCTCCATCAGTTCGCCAAAAGGAATTTGATCAATGCATTTTTTTAAATCCATGCTAATGAATTCGAAAATCAAGTAAATCAGTTTTTCGTCCAAAATCACTTCTATCAGACTAAAATTAATCAAAATTTGATCCATTTTAGCATCAGCAATATTACATTAGGAAAACAGCATCAGACATGTTTTGCTTATTTCAAAATACAGCTATCATCATGTTGATAAAATTGTATAACTGCTTTATGGCAACTAAATTATGACGGAAGATGCCTTCACATACACTTTTTTATTTCAGCAATTTGATGGTCAAAACATTGAATATTCGAAATTCTACACAAAGAAAATAACATACGAAACGATGTTAGGATGTTTCAGTCTTCTAAGTAACGACATTTCACGAAGAGCTGTACTAGGAATGCCATCCGATTCATGCTGCAAACGCATCTTCTTCATAGCTACGAATTTGCCTGTGCTCTTCTCAATTCCTTTGTAGACGACGCCATATGATCCTAGCAATATAAAAAAGGTAAAAAATGTTTAACTTACATATCTTTTCTCAGGATTCCAAATTTAAAGATTTTTCCCTAGAATTTCAATATAACATATTTTTGACTACCTTGACCAAGGATTTCAGTTCGATCGTACTTATCCAAAGCAGTTTTATCCATCGTTCTCTTAATGCTGTAACGTACACTGTAACGTAGCTGTAAAGTACACTAAATTTTAATACCGAAAGCTTTCCTAAAATTACTATAAAACAAAAAATACTGTATAATAACATATTATACGCATTCTACCTTGTATTGTAACCAAGGCTAATCAAAACGACCACCTGCAAGTAAAAAAAATTTGTATGTTAAATTTTAGTGTCGAAAACTTTCCTGAAATTACTACAAAGCAAAAAAAAATTATATAATAACATGGTACATGCATTTTACCTCTGTATTGTAACCAAGGCTAATCAAAACGACCACCTGCAAGCAAAAAAAATTTGCACATTAAATTTTAATTTTAAAAACTTTCCTAAAATTACCATAAAGCGAAAAAAAACACCATGTAATAACGTAGTACACGCATCTTATGTATATTGTAACCAAGGCTAATCAAAGCCATCAATTGCAAATGTATAATGTAAATATAAATATAAAAAATAAATAAATAAATATATATATATATAACGGATATGTACAAGCGTACGGATCTAAGCATAAATTTACGCATCTGAGCATGAAACTGACGCATGTACTCGCGTTTATGCCCAACCTTACACTGACATAAATGGGGAAGTAAACTGGGAGCGAGGAAGAAAGAGTGGGAAGATGGAAGGAAGAAAGAACGGAAATGAGTTGTGAGTAGGTGGAGGCAAAGGAGGAGGAGGGAGAACGGAGCCTGCTTCGCAGCCATTCCATGCATCCTACGTGACTTTTAGCAAAGATATTCTCTGACTGTCGTTAGACTCACGATGAGCGCGCGTGGGCGGAGTACGGTAGTACTCCTAGAATGAAAAATGAATGGAATTTTCTAGAACATAACCCAAAATCTCAGAGGGAAAAGGTCTCATTTGTCGAAGCAGCTTTTTTTCTTGTGTGTTTATTACTTCTGATGTTTGTACCGTTATATAACTGATTTAAATCGCTTCCATAATTCTTCATATATTTTAATAAATCTAATGGGAAACTAATGAGATCTAACAACCATTTTCGGAAATGCGAATGAATTTATGTATAATTCTACAAAACAGCTGATAGATGATACTATTATCTCAGATATTTGGTTCAATATCTAACGATGCTTCAGATGTTTTGCTCCCTAACTTTGGGATATATTTGTAATAGGATCGCATGTTGAATATAACTATTTCCGGCTTATTTTTGATTTCTTGTAGATATTACTGGCTGTCATTGGTTTCTTTTCCAATTTAAATAATAAACATTTTTTCCAATCTTTTAAGCCGTGATTTATTGGAATTACTTATTATGTTTAAAAAAATATTTGTTATATCAATTTTATATCACCTGCAGAGCAGAAGTTCACGAGTTGAACTAAGATCGTATGCATTTTCTGCTGTCCTGTGAAGTTTGGATTAAGACAAGGAATGCTCTATATAGGCTAAAAAACGAAAGAACATTAAATCATGCATTGGAGATCCAATTTTCTCTTTTTCCCATATTCCTTATCACTTTCGCAAATGATGTAAAAGTCGTCTTGTTATCAATAAAAAGATTGCCGAACGGAAGCTATGACAAAGAAGTTATTAGTTTATTAATTAAGAAGAATCCTCTAAATTTCACTGCCATCACATTTCAATTCTAAATAGCTGATGCTTAGAACAGATGATTATTTATTGCAGAGTTTTCTGCAGAATTTGGAGATATAGCTTCCTAACAATATTTTTTCAAATTTACAGTTATATTTCATTGTCCTTATACTTTACAACTCTTCATTACTTCTTCCTTTTGAAGCTTTTCTTTTATAATTGTTTCTGCTGTGTAATCAGCGTTAGCGGTAAGCAGCCTAATTTCGATTTATAATAATCCTTTAGCACAGTTTCATCAGCCACCGTACATTACAACAGTTCATCACTGTTTATATTGAGTTGTGACCTGTTTTCTCAGCTTGGGAATAAAATGAATTTGATCATCCAAAGCAAACCCTAACAGTGTTCACCCAGCTTTCATCCGTATTTGGGACTGACAAAAGCGTGCCGAACATTCATTTTCATTGTTAGAAGAGGTGATTAGAATCTGCAGAAGAATATGTCCCGGGAACACCAAATTTTCATAAATAGTCCAACACATAGAGCATCATTAGAACTGTGAGGCTATTATCTCTTCAGAATGTTACTGGATTCTGAGCATAAATTAATGACAACAATGAACAGCTTTCGGAAATTTTATCTTACGATCTCGAATTAAAGCTTTAATTGTTGCACGCATATGTTTCGCTCAAAATTTTTCCATAAAAATAGCAATAATTGAAATATAGACACTTTGTTTCAAAGAAGCACAACTTTTCAATAATGATTCCTGCGCAGTGTTCATTAAAGTACGAAAATATACTCATATGATGATCATATTTAAAAGTACCGAGAGAGAAGTGCGGGAAAGGAAAAAAGTGGGATGAAAACGACAGACTGATAAACACGGAATAATAGGAGAGATCAGTTAGATAGGGCGATAAAGAGAATAGAGTTTTAAAGCCCGATCGTAATCGCACACTACCACTTTTGTTTTGTCGATATTGTTGAAATAAGGATGCTTTAAAAGTTGCTTCGCTGAGACTCGTTGTGCGGGATCGTACGTAATCATTGCCTGTAAGAAGTGCTGCTGTAGTATTAAAAATTGTGATAATTTTACTGTAGTATTAAAAATTAGCAATTATCACATGTTTATACATTTTTCAAATTTAAGGTTCTAAAAAAAAGCTTGGAACCTTCAAAATCGCCAAATCGTCAGAGTCCATGTACTTATCAAGGAACTTTTCAAGATTACAATTCTTCCACTGAGGGAATAACTCCTGGTAATCAGGTAACTTCGTTACTCCAGGCCAATTTTCTTCCGTTGGAGTTGACATTATACTGAAAATGCTAACAGTGAAAAATAAAAACAAAAATAAATGGTATAAATGCAGGTGACAAACCTGAAAATAGAATACAATTGAGCGATTTCTGATTCACCCGCAAAAAGTGCCTCTTTTGAAGCCATCTCAGCAAATATGCATCCAATACTCCAGATATCAATTGCATACGAATAACGTTTAGCACCAAGCAGTATCTCTGGTGCTCGATACCATAAAGTGACCACCTGTTTAAAAAACAGTAATTTGCGAAATTTAAATTAGATAGAGAATGTTAGAGAAAATACAAGATTTAGAAACGATGGAAAATAGTTTTCTCGATCTATTAACTATCATTTCTCGTTTGAAAGCCAGAAGCTCAGGTAATATATATTCGCAACAGTCCTACATTGATCAATTTGTCAGTTAGTTGCCCTTCGATGGTTTAATGTTTCATCACCTAATTGTAGTACAGAAATTAAAAATTTCTGTCTCATACTACAATTAGGTGATGAAAAAAAAACAAAATTAAAAATTTACCTCGTGAGTAAAGGGTCGAATTGGAATACCAATTTCTCTCGCGAGACCGAAGTCTGCGAGCTTTATGATGCCCTCGGCATTAATTAATAAATTATGTGGCTTCAAATCGCGATGCATGATACGGCGTTGATGACAATAGCAAATGCCTTGCAATATTTGGTATAAGTGAGTCTTGAGCTGAAGTAGTTGAAATTTCAAGACTTAATACTTATAATAATCCATCAAATTATCAATAGTTTATTATTAATTACTCACCAGGAAAAGAAATTGCCCATCATTTAGGACGCACTATTTTAACTCATCATAAAAATGACATATGAGTTAAAAGGAAATGAGCTAACAACCTCAATTTTATTCATTAGCTGATCTTTAGGAATTGAATCAATGTATCGTCGCAAATCCATATCAAGAAATTCGAAAACTAAGTAAACACGATATTCCTCCATTACGACTCCATGGAGGCTAAAATTTCAAGTTATAAACACATACAACATTATATAAAAGTAGCAACAGAAATGCATAACTGTTGAATTTATTACCAATGTATTACAGTAAAAACCTTATCAAAAGATTTATTGCCATGTCTTTACTTTCTGAATATCAATAAAAAAGAACGCACACAACAATGTTCGGATGACGCAATTCACGGAGTAATGCTAATTCACGTACAGTTGTAGCCGGAATACCGTCCTCCTGACAATCCAAACGAATCATTTTTATTGCGACTGGCTTTTCAGTTTGCTTGTGAAAAGCTTTGTAGACGACGCCATATGCTCCTAACAGCATTTGGAACAATATAAAATTTGTATTAAGGATGTGTTTTTTGAGAGATTCAAAATTTCAAATAAATTATTGAATGTTATGAAATAAATTTCAGCATACCTTCGCCAATTTTCTTAAATTGATGATAGTTTCTTAAATTATTTCCCTCTGCATCGGTATTCTGCCCTGAATAAAGCGTTTATGGTAAGGCATTCTGAGGTATGTCAAGGCATTGATTGAAATATAATTTCGATCACAACTAAGTGCTATCATCTTCCTGACAAAATCTTTTTTTTACGACATTATTTTTCAACGCTGTAAGAAACAAAAATTAAAACATTGATGAGACTTGTTACCATCTAATCAATAATATCCGTAAATCAGCTTAACCAGTAATGCTATAAAAATGAGCTATTCCTTATCGGATTATAGACAAGAATAAAATGATAAAGAATATTGGTGATATTATTATTTTTCGAAGTGTTATACTTCATACATAAAGTAAGTCTAGACTCTGCTGTTCTACCTTAGAAAAACTCTGACTCTAAGTTTTTTTACCTTGCTAAAATTCGAGATTATATTTTAAGAAAAAGATTTCATCTGTATCATAGGTTTCAGCAATTGTATACGAATCTTTGAGATTTGTACATTTAGACATTAGGAAAAAAATTTTTTTCTCCTTTTTCGTAAATTTCAACTAATTTTAGAGACAGAATTAAAGTTTCTAACGGTATAATGATGCTTTAAAGACAAGAAGCAAAGAAATAAAGCATATAGGCGATGAGAGTTTGATTTGTATAATTCTAACCAAGTCCTGCAAAAAATTCTTCGGTTGGATATTCCGAGAAATTTTTTTCACATTCCATTTTATCGGAATTCCTTAAAAAGGAGAAAAATCGAAAATATAATAATAATAATAATAATTTAAGCATTTTTTGTTGCTTCTGTTTTCAGAAATATAATTTTATCTTTTTTCCAAAAGATTACTGCTAATATTTATTGCAAAACAAAAAAATGGAGGAAAATTGGAGCAGGATTATGAGAAATAATTACTTTAAGGACGCTCAAAAAATCCCTTCACTTAATTTAAACAGTACGATGGAAATGATGTTCTCACTGAAATGACAATTTACAGAGACGATACCAAGCGACTGTATTAGTAGTAAGCGACCAAAAAATGATTTCAACATTTAATTTGATTCCTTAAATACCCTTATTCACCATATCTTTATTATAATTTTTTTTATCTTATTAGATCGGTAGTCTTTTCGTTTGAAAAAGTCATTGTAATTTTTTTCAAGTAAACAAAAATTTTTAAAGCTTGATTACTTATTACTTATTGCTTTATTTTTAAGATCAATTAATTGGTCCGAGATCTTTTCATATCTAACGCATTGCAACAGTTGACTGTAAGTACTATAACATAATTATCATACTGAGACATACACGAATTGCAGCAAAAAGGAATATATACATTTCTTATAAATTGCTAACAATATCGTTACTTAAAATTTTGCAATTAGCCGGTCCTAATCATTTGATTTTAGCACTAATATCACTGCCATGAGTTACAAACAATTATTCGGTTGAATTTATAATATAAAAAGATTTGAGTTTATTTTTTTTCCATGTTTCAAATTTATCTTATTTAACTTCAGAATTTTTGAAATTAAAACGAATTGAAGATTGATCTTCATTTTGCACGCCTATTTGTTATCATTAGCTTGCAAAAAATTAATAAGCCATGTGAATTAAGATTCGAATTAAGAACTTTTAATTACATTTAACCGCATCCCAAGTTATCGGTTTTCCTTAAACAGTATGAATTTTCAATAAATATTTTCAGATTTCAAAAAATATAGCTAATAATAATTATCAAAACATTTACAAATTTTTTTCAAATAATATCATAAGAGATAAGATATTAATGAAATCAATGCTATGATTGAAGTATGAATATTTATGGATTTTATTCCACAAATTTTAATATACTCAAAATTTAAACTGCAAAAGTCTGTCATTCGAACCGATAACTGTTTTGTCTTTGTAAAACAAGAGCCATTAAACTTTCGGCAAAACAATATTTGCAGGAATGGGACCAACCTACTTCAGTCTTAAGAAATTAGGCCAATATCTATAAAGGTTTCGTCGGAAAGCCAACAGGATAATCAAATAATGCTTACAATGGTTCATTGGAAGAACAATTTTCGGAATTCAGCGGTTGTACTAACATATGGTTCAGCAGGTGCGGTATAAAACGCTTTCATACCAATAGTTCAAAGTTCTGATCTTTCTCCAGTAATACAAAAATTACATTTTTACAAAGTTAATGAATACAAATATCAAAGTTAACACTTTCTGTTCTAACAACTCAAAGATTAATAATTCCAGTTATAGATGGCTTGAAATACGTGACAAATTGCATGCCAAACTGCGAATAGCTTGTGAACAAGCAAATTTTGATGAGCGACATCAGGAAACTGTTTTATGAGATATCAACAAATCTATCATCTAAAAATTCTGATCCACCTCGGTAACACGGTAACAAAATCAAAGAAGCAGTAATTAGAAAATGGTTGTAATTATTATTCAAAATTTGATAATTGTAATTGCTGTGTGAGGAAATAAAAGATAGAAATTTGTGGGTCGTATATACAGTTTGAATCATTATATAATGCCTTACTTTAGGCTATTCGCCACACTTCATTAAGAAGTACTCATTTATAAATAAAAGATAATTATACTTCAATTTATGTCTGATAATGAAAAAGTAATCAAGCGTTTGGAAAACCTTTCTGCATAATCGAGGACATCCAAATGGATCCATCGAGAAGAAACGTGGGGAATTGTGCGGAAGAATATTAGTTTAAAAGTAAACTTACGAAATATATTGTAAATTTAAATACATAACTAATCTAATGTTCACTACAGAAAACTTTGGACAAACAATATCATTATGAATCATTTAAAATCAAAAATAAAATAAGTTCTACAAGCGACAAGGTGCTGTCAGCTGAAAATCCTTTTGATAAAATGCATTTTGGACATTTTGAAGAATTAAACAATCAGCTCAGTTTTATGTTTAATTTAAGATTAAAGTAAAGGGAGATTAATTTTCGCTTGTATAAAATGAATTAATGTATTTTTTTTTGTCGACGAATCAATCGTTGTCAGTAACCGAAGACTGATACAAATTTGGAGAGCTCGTTTTTGAAGTATAATAAAAAAGGACGGTTTGTATTTTAATGCATAGCAGATATTTTAATTTAATTATGTCAATGTTTCAGATTAATCTGAGAAAGCAAAGCACCAATATGGTTTGGATTTTGATTGTCTAGTTTTTCCAACCGTTGGTCACATTCGACACATCATGTTCCACCAATCAAGATTTTGAAATTCTGAAGAAAAAAAATTAGTCTCAAAAGAAGATCAAGTTGGAATCAACAGGAACAAAGAGAATTTTATACAAAATATCAGATCTAAAGCAAGCTTCATTTTATATTACACATATAATCGGAAAGGATAAAGAAAATGCTTTAAGGCTATTCTGTAATCCAAAACCATTATCTCTGTATTGTTAAATAATGATTCTGTATTAAATAATTTATTTTTTTAATAATACGTAAAGATAAAACTGATAATCTATCGATCAACTCATCGTTTCCAAGCAAAAACAATTTATACAGTAATTAAATAAAGGATTCCTTTGAGAATTTATCCCTCTTTCTATTCTAATGTTTTAGGTTTGCAAATTAAGACTAATTTCGATGATCTTATATGTATTATTGTTGAAATTATAGCTAAATTTGATTCGTGCAATTTTATAATACCAAAATAACATTTTTGCATTTATGAATCATATATTTTGTCTTTTCGTTTTAAATGTATAGCATTCATAATATTATAATATGTCATTACTGTTATGTGTTCAAATACGATGCATATATCACTTCATGACAAAACCAATTTAAAGAGCAGATTTTTCAAGAAAATGATATCATATTAAGGAAACGCTGGGAATCAACATACAAATTATTTATAACTTTTGGGGAAAATTCATTCGGTCAATTTAGAAATTATGCAAAGCGAAAATAGCAAGTTCAACTCAATAAATGACTGTTCAATTTCAAACTGCATAAAATAGTCTCGATCGCTTTGGTGTAATGAAATGTACAACAGCAATAGGCGCATGAACGACCACCGCCGTACTGAAGAAGAAACGTCGTGGGTGGTCCTCTCTAGCTCGATGGGAAAATAGTACAAACACACACTTCCCCTCCGCCCCCCTCAAATCTCTTACTGCCTCAATGCTTCACCATTAGACCACCCACGATGTTTTTCAAAAATGCGGCAAGATGATACATTTCCATAACATCCATCAAACTTCATTGGTGGTATTAATGTGGTGAGTGGTATGACATTGTTGCTCACTACGGGATAGGTCGCTTAATCTTTTTTTTTAGATGTTCAACTTATAAAGGGATGCTAATGTTGTAATCCACTGTTTAATTCCTGATCGTCTGGCCGAGGCCGTATTCAATTGAGTTGGTGTAAGATTTGTAAATGTTTCCACCTCGTACCAAATTTCAACTTTTACTATTAAATGTTTCCATCTCGTACCAAATTTCAACTTTTACTATCGTGTTGAAGAAAATTAAATGCCAGTGGCGGCAAATACATTCCAATGAAAATTAAAACATTCTAGTCAATAACTTTTATAACTTTTGAAATGATGCATATGGCATTAATTATGACCTTCTCAAATCCTAAATATTTAATATGACACCTGAGTTTCTTAATTCAACTATGAATAACAGATACAACTTAATGCACTTGCCTACCAAGAGACCTTTAAAAAAGTCAGTTTGCTTGGCGTAACACTTTTGTGGTATAACTGTTTTTATGAGCTGAGCTATTTTCAATCTGTGGTTCTTTGTACAACTGAGAGGAAATCCTTGACGTGCCTGGAAACTGTCATTCGGCGGCCTTACAGGCCTATAGGGTAAAGAGAATGGCGGGAAATT